TGTCCCTTCTCACCCGACCTTTAATGATTCTGTAAAGAAAAATCTGGGAGGTGTTAGATGTGTCTGTTACCTTGACTGTGACAATGATATCCTGGGTGTTTGCATATGTCCAAATTCATCAAATTGTACACATTAAATACATGCATTTCTTTGGATATCAATTATACTCCGAAAAAGCTGTTTTTAATAAAATGATAGTGTATATTTCTACACAATGGAAGGATGATGATTCTTATAACCAGAGAAAAGAAAAATAGGAAAAAACTAATTAATAAATATTGTTAGTAATTTATTTTAGATACATATATATGTAATCAGAACTTTGAAAGAGCCTGGAAATATACACATCAAAATGTTGTCACTGTATCTCTAACAGGTTTAACTACAGATAATTAATTTTTTGCATTTGCATCTTCTAATTCTAATATATTTGAAAAATGTATTTTTGTAATAGGAAAAGCTTCAAATAAAAAATGAGATAAGAAGGCAATTTTTTTTTGTCTTGGAGAAGGGGCCGGAGGGGAGAGGGGAAAAGGGAAGTAAGGGGACCAGCTGTAACTTATTCTCTAAGGAGGGGCTCAGGTCAGAGTTCCAGAGTGGATCGTTTTAACCTGAAATGGGGAAATCTGTGCAGAAGAACCACTTCTCAGATGATAGGAGAAAGTACGAACTGGATGATCTTGATGTGCAGTTTTATGATTTCAGCTGATCAAGTAAATGGGGTAAATTGAATTGCCTCTGCTTTACCTTCTTGAGTGTATAATTTGTACCTCTGATTTTATCACATGGTATAATGTCCTCTTAAATAATCAGTCAGATATATGGTACATGTGTTACATACTGCATAGAACATGCAAGAAGTAGGTTTTGGACACAGAGCATCACCTAATAACAAGACACCCATGATTCCCTTTTGATGTTTCATCTAAATTGATCAGTAGGGCCACAAGCCATTGTTCCTTTTAGCCATTCCTGGTCTGTTTCCTCAGATCTATGTCTGCTAGGAAAAGATTCTAAAAACTAGGAGACTCTGGAGATCACCAAATACTGGAAAAAAGAAGTCAACCTTTATCTCTTACTAATGGCAGGTCACTAATGTCAATTGCCAAAGTGAAAGAAAATTTGTTATAGAAAAGGATAGAAAGGACTTGAAAGGATTTTCCTCTCAGTGACTCTAAACTTCCGAGTAAGAGTAAGGAGTTCTAATTAAAGCGTGTCAGCGCTTTAGCACACTTTCAGCTAGGAAAATGAAGCTGGACAAGTTGGAAAGAACCAAAATTTCATTGAATGAGAAGAAAGCTTAGAGGTTTTGTATTTTTTTAAATTCATACTCATCTCTTCATTTTACAGAAACATTTTTGTCTAAATGAATGGTATTTTGACTTTCCCAAGTTTGCACCGTAATGACCTTCAGATCAAGGAATATATCCTAGGAGTTATTTCCCAATATTAGGTGCTCTCCATAATACATGTTCGACAGATGTTTATGAAATTACCTTCTAGGCTGATTTCCTTCTTGTTTCTTCAGGGAGGCCCGCTGTCCGCACGTACGAGTGGCCATGGGAAACTGGAGCATGGTGACTGAGTTTACCCTCACTGCCCTCCCAGCCCTGCTGGAGCTCCGAATAGCCCTCTTCGTGGTTCTCTTGCTGACTTACACACTAACAGCAGTGGGAAACATTATCATCATCTCCCTCATATGGACTGATAATCGCCTCCAAACCCCAATGTACTTCTTCCTCAGTAATCTGTCCTTTCTGGACATTTTGTACACAACTGTTGTTACCCCGAAGTTGCTAGCCTGCCTCCTAGGAGAGAAGAAAAACCTATCCATTGCTGGCTGCATCACGCAAACGTATTTCTACTTCTTTCTGGGGACAGTGGAATTTATCCTCCTGGCGGTGATGTCCTTTGACCGCTACGTGGCCATCTGTAACCCCCTGCGCTACACCGTCATCATGAACAGCAGGGTCTGTCTCCAGCTGGTTCTGGGCTGCTGGGTGGGGGCCTTCCTCTCTGTGTTGGTACCAACTGTAGTAGTGACAAGGCTACCCTACTGTAGCAAAGAAATTAACCATTTTTTCTGTGATATTGCCCCACTTCTACAAGT